GAGAAAAAAAATCTGAAGGCATTTTTGTGGTTTAGTGAATTGCTTCTGGTGGCAGTCACAGCAGAACTTGCGGAGATCTATTCACCAAATTTAAACAAACCTTCCCAACAGGGTCAACCGTCACGTTCGAACATTTTCAGGGTTTTTGCGACCCCCTTTTCTCAAGGGGGTCACCCCCTTATCTCAAGGGGGTCCAGTTGCGACCCCCTCTTAGGTAATGGAAGTGCCGAATGTGCTGACTAAATGTTAAGTGAAATATTTATTTCACTCATTTTACTTCAAAGACAGTGAACTAAAACCTTTTAAAGACAATGAACTTCCATGACATAGAACAAAACATTTGAATATTGAATTCTTCACTGGCATTTGAATTGAATTCTTTTCAAAAAATCATTGAATTTTTTTCAAAAATTCAATGATTTTTTGAAAAAAATTCAATTCAAATGTTCAGTAAAGAATTCAATATTCAAATGTTGTGTTCGTAAGTTCGTAAGTTCATTGTTTTCAAATGGACAATGAACTTCCATGAAATATGAACAGAACATTTGAATATTGAGATCTTCACTGAAATTTGAATTGAATTGTTTTCAAAAAATCATTGAATTTCTGAAAAAAATTCAATATTTTTTTCATGTTGCCCAAAACTTCAAACTTCATGCTTCCGAAAGAATCACAAGAGCAGTTCAAGGGAGTAAATCAAAGAGAGTTACGTTCTCCATCAATGCATCTCCTAAGATGAGCCCCAAAAGGAGCAAGAATCACAGGGCACTGGCTAATGAAAGCTATTTTTTATGGTTAGCCTCGCGAGATCAAAATTTTTGTTCGCTCACAATCACGCCAAAATGAGGATGAAAGCGAAATGTGTAAGACCAAATGGAGGGATATCCAACAAGTAACATGAAGACTGACGAACTTCTGCTCAAACAGCTGAAAAAAGAGGAAGGATTAAAGAAGAGTAGGACTGACATGATTGCGTCAGAAACCGCCGCAGAAAGCGTTTGCGTTGCGGCGTCAACCTTGGAGCGCGGCAGGTATCACCCGGACGCTGGAAAACTGGGACGCGGCGAAGAAAAAGTTTTAGGAGAGTGTAACTTTCTTGAGACGTATTTGTTTCACTTATTGAGGTAGGTTTAAACTGTGCCTGAGGTGGCTTTACAGAAAATTGCAAGGATGACCTAACTCTCCCAAAAGTATTTCTGTCAGAAGCGGAAAACCCAAAATTCTGAGAAGGCGCACCTCCAACTTTGAGAGGCTCCATAAAATCTTTCGTATGCGACATCTTTGGAAATTTGTGAAAAGTTTTAGAAACTTCAAATATTTCTCTAACAAAAGATTATAAAAAGTTAAGTGATTGTCCCCTTTTTCAAAAATTTGCCCCGTTCGAACAGTTCCCGTGCAAAACCGAGTTTTTAAGCTTTCAGCGACTATAACTCACTTCATTTTGATTGCTGTGTTTCCCTCTTTCCATGGGGTGAAAGAGCAGGTTTTGCTCTTTCTAATAAGCCCTAAACCATTTTTCAAAGTTCATTTTTCGAGAAAATCCCACGTTCGAACATTTCGGGCGGTTTTGCCGAACACATTCTTTGAAATCGCGAGTTTTTGGGCTTTCAACGAGCATAACTCGCTTCATTTTGATTGCTGCGTTTCCCTCTTTCCATGGGGTGAAAGAGCAGAATTTGCTCTTTCTAACAAGCCCTAAACCATTTTTCAAAAGTTCATTTTTCGAGAAAATCCCACGTTCGAACATTTGGATCCCATAGGTTTTTGAGCAGCACATGCGAGGTTTCGAGCTTTCAGCAATAATAACTTCCTTCAAAGAGCATGTTGGAAAGAGGCGAAGACATTTTTGAAGACCGCGAGGTTTCTTCTTTCTTATGTGTTTCACGATTTTGTGGAAGAACCGTCCTCAGAAAAGTAGGTTCCCGAAGAAGTTCAATTTCAGCCACAAGAAGTCAAACCTTTCATGGAGATGCATTCAACTGTTCTCTATTCCTCAAGGAAAACACCGTAATTTGCCTAAAACTGTCTCTCTGTGCATAATTAATCGAATCTAATGCGGTCTGCACAAACAATTCTTGCCCTCGGATACGCCACGCACGCGCCTGTGGCTGGCAGTCCTCGAAATTGCGACCCCCTTCCGACCAAAATGCGACCCCTTCGTTCGAACAGTTCGAACGGACGGTTGACCCTGCCCCCTATGGTTCAAGTGCGGAAATAGGAAAAAACCGTGAATTTTGTAACACAAGTAACAAACAAAAGAAAACAATAGAGAAAAAAAAGTGATCAAGCTCGAATTAGCGGCTATTTCTCTTCCGATCGACGAAGCTCTTTTCTGCGAAGACGTAGTATGCTGCAATTTCAACATTTTTTTTTCAAATGTGTCTCAACATTCAGAAGTCTTGGATTCCGAGAATCTGTAACAGATCAATTTTTCTCAGTCTACTTTTGAATATGCTTACACTTGAAGCCTGCTGTACCTCTAGTGGTAACGCCTGGAGCCACCTCGCTCCACGAAGAAGAGCGAATGGGAAACTTTGACGTACTGTTTTCTAGCGAATTGTGGAGAGAGCGAGGAGTCGCGCCCTCGACAAGGTCTGAAGACCCAATAATTACTCGGTTTGAGCTTCAACTCTCCTTTAAGTAATTTGAAGCAGAAAACTAAGTCATTAAACACGCGCCGGTAGAGCAGGGACTTAAGCTTGAGACGACTTAAACGTTCTCTGTAATCCGGCATGCATGTTCCAGAGGCTCGGTTATGATCACATCTGTATATAACAACTCTCGTGAAGGCTTGTTGAACCTTCTCAATCTTGATTTGTAATTTCCTAGTATGGGGATTCCAGATTTGTGATCCATATTCTAATATAGGAACAACATAGGCTTTGTAAAGCTTCAAAAATGTTGTAATATCGTTGTATCGAACATTTCTGAATATCGCAAAAAGGGTGCGAAAAGCCTTCTGAACAATAGTGCTTATATGGTGTTCAAAATCTAGCATCGAATTCACACAGAAACCCAAATCACTGACTTCTTCAGATTCCTGAAGGAACTACATCATTAAAGATGTATGGAATCCTTTTTGCCTTTCCTAGATGAAGTACCGTAGTTTTCTGGAGATTAACAGGTATGTCCCAAGCCGCAGCCCACTCCATCATCTTGCAGATGGCCTGGGTTAGGGCTTGGTGTACACTCATATGGGTTCCATCGTTGTAAATGCCGTACACCTTTATGTCGTCAGCGTACATGTAAACCTTCACCGCTGGATGTACTGTTAAGCAGGCCGGCAAGTCATAGGTGTAGGCAAGAAATAAGAGGGGCGATAAAACTCCCCCTTGCGGTACACCACTTGAGCATAAGTACCTCTTCGAAAAAGCGTTCCCAACTCTAACACACATGTGTCTTCCATTCAAGTAGCGGCTTATCCAGTTAAGGATAGGTCCACTGACTGCAAGATTTCGCAATTTCAAAAGAAGTTTCCCATGATTGGCTTTATCAAAAGCTTTTGACAGATCAAAATATATTATGTCTACTCCGCTATCTCTATTTATTGCCATGCTCCAATCGAAGACACATGCTGCCATCTGGGTGCAAGTAGATGCACCCGAGATGAAGCCGTGTTGTTCGATAGGAATTAATTTATTTTTACTGAGGTGCCGAAGAAGTTCGTCTCGTATGAGCTTTTCCATTGTTTTGACAGTTGAAGACGTTATGCTTATGGGGCGGAACAATGAGACTAAACTCGCTTTAGTGACCTTTGGAATAGCAGTGATGATGGACTCCTTCCAAGCAGAAGGAACCTCACCAAACATTAAAGATGCGTTCAGAATCATGCATACTGGCTTACACAATGAAGCTGCGCATTTTCTATATACAATTTGAGGAATACCATCAAACGGTATTGACATCGAAATTTTGAGAGATTTCAAAACTTTGTAGACGTCCTCGGGGGTTACATTGATAGTGAAAAAGGAGCCGGGATGAATATTATACTCATCCTCAACCTCATACCCTGTTTCTGTACCACCACTATAGACAGACACGAAAAATTTCGCAAGTGCTTCTGCTTTTTGCTCTTCAGTAACGAAGTGTGCACCAAAGTCATCATGAAGTACAGACATGCTTGCTTTTGGCTTCAGTTTGCAGCGGATAAGAGCGAATAGTAGTTTGTTCTGTTTTGAGGCGGTAATACGCTTTTCCTGGTTAGCCAAAAACCTCCGCAAATGATAATCTAGCTCTCTACAGATTCTCTTGTACTGGAAACTATACAAAGGAGAGTTCTGTAATGCATTGTAGAGACGAGATTTCTGAGCCATCAAATTGCTTATATGTTTCGGGTAACGTGTCTTCGGCGCTTCTACTGTGGAGAAAGGCACATATTTTGCAAATCCGGCGTACAGAATTCGGCAAAATCGCTTGTAGAGGTCGTCAACGGAGCGAAAACCTTCAAACACGTCCCACCAATTTGTTGAGTAAAGATATTGCGAAAGCAAATCATAGTCCGCTTCTACGAAATTTGGCATGGGAAGGTGTCTTAGTGATTGAACCGAAATTTGAATTTTGAAGGCAACTACAGAGTGGTCAGACTCAGCGATAGGCGGACATATGTGTACATTCTCGATTATAGGAGCATTCGCTAAGACTATATCAAGAATCGAATCCCCACGTGTGGGCTGCCTGACATACTGAACTAGTTCGCAACATTTAAAGAATTCAAGAAATTTGGATGATTTTGAATTTTTTGCCTTTTCCGAAAGCCAGTCTATATCGAGGTTAAAGTCGCCAAGCACAATCAAACGCTCGCTTGAGCTTGAAAGCTCTAGTAGAGAGTCAATGAGTCTATCATCTTCTTCAGAGCTATTGTTGGGCGGACGATATGTTAAGATGACCTTGAACAGCAGAGCGGAAACTGTATCGTACCCTTCGAGGCAAAGAAGCTCCGATTTGAGGCGAGGAGTGGCAACAGCAGCTAAAGTGATTTTTTCGTTAGCTAAGCAGCATACCCCACCACCTCGGCGAGAGTCACGGTCAATTCGATAGACATTATAAGGACGACCGCAGAGAATTTCCGCATCAGAAACTTTTGAGGACAGCCACGTCTCAGTTATAAAAACCAGGTCAGGATTGTGAGTGTCAAGAAGCAACTGTAAGTGGTGTAATTTGTTAGCAAGACTTCGAGAATTTAACAGATAACACCTAATTCCTGGGGGAGTACCGTGCCGAGCTAGACGTTTTCCGATGTTTGTGATGTTTGCGATATTTGCGATTTTTTGCTTTGGGAAGCTCATCGGCACGCCGTAGCTCACCACGGTACACCACCCATACACGACTTTTTAGCTGCTCATTGCGCGAATTGCACTCCTCCCGCAACCGAAGCTCTCTTTCGCGCTCTTCTTGGGTCATACTTCTGCGTATGTATACCTTAGATAACCCAGAGCTACGCAAGCGAAAGCTGTTGGCTAGTGCTCTGGCCCAGTGGCTTTTAGATGGCAATACCAGCTTGACCAGCCGTGGACGCGAATCGTCCGGTTTCCCGAGGCGATACACCTCCACGGGTCTGCACTCGACTCCGAGAACATCTAATACTTCAGTAACCTTTGCCTCAACTTCTCGTTGCCTGACTGAAGGGGGGACATCGGGTGCGGACTCCGGTATACCAGCAATTACCAAGCTACGCCCCCGCTTGTCCGCCTCCACCGCTCCGGCAATCGATTGGGGCAGTTTGGTTACAAGAGCATTGATGTACTTGCCCATAATAGGGTCTTTGATCACATCATTGCGCTCCATCATAGCGCTAATTATTTGGCTCAAGGACATATTGGCGATATCGGAATCTGCTGGACAATCTTCCATTGAGCAGCTGTTACTGTCATTGGAATCCTTGTCAGTGGTAGTTTGACATACCCGTGCTCGATTCCGCGGCATTGTGATCGCCAATATGTCCACAACCTGTGAAAACCGAAAACTCGAACTTATCTCTCAAATACAACAATATATTCTGCAGGCCAGCTGTGATAGTCGAGCTTCTCGATCTATGTCACTATATGAATACCAAGTTGTCGAAATATACAAAAGTATACGTCAGCTCGGTATAAATATAGAAATGAATGGCAGAGAAAGGCAGGCACAACCGCTCAGCACGGCAGAGTCGATGAATACCTGTATACCATGAATTAAGGCAAAAGAGAGAACTTAAAGGAATTTTACACTTTCTTAAAAGCACTCTTCGCGTAGATTCTAACAGTCTTTACCGCTTCTCATCACATTAATTTGAAGGAAGTTATGGGCCTTTGAAGATTGCAAGTCGCGGTCCAGGAAAATGGCTTGAAAAAAATCAAGGGGAAAAAACGGAACAACGGGACTATTTTTTGAGCGAGTGATTCTTTCAAAAAGTTTTAGCACTTATTCGAAAGCTTTAATCTTCTAGTTTCTAATTAGCCTTAGACATCTGCAAAAAGTTGTGAATGTTTGAATGTCGAAAACTCGACAAAAAACGGAACAACGGGACGATTTTTTTGAAATATTGAACATCCGCAACATTTCAAATACTTTAGGAAGAAAACTATTTGAATTTTTAAAATTTTGGTGTCCGGTTCCATGAGACCGCTTCTGAAGAAAAATATAACCTTCTGAATGGAGGGGTTTGTATTGCAACGTAATTGCTACAAGGTTTAGTTTTTCAGATTATAAAATAAGGAAATTGAGAGATCGAAAAAAACTTGGTAGGTTTCTGAAAGTAGAAATCTTTACGATTAAATCATGTATTGGTTTACGCAAAAATTTGGAAATTCCTTCTATTTAATGAATAAAACTTCATGTTGCCTCGATTCCTCCTCTGAGCGAGACAGAGCGCGCGGATTGACCACGGTCCACCACTTCTCCATGTTGGTGACTGCCCACACATCAATGATGAGCATTAAATTATGTGAAAGACATAATAGTTAATACGGGGGGGGGGGAGAGAGAGGAGGATACGTAAAAATTTTGGAATTTGCGCAACGCAGGGTCGACCCTGGCCACATTGCGCCCAAATACATAAAATATTACACCAATTCGCACACTACGAAATTTACGAAATTGATTGCAATGTTTACGAAATTGGCTGCAACGTTTACGAAAATGGTCGCAGCTTTGACGAAATTGGTTGCAACGTTTACGAAATGGGCTGCAACGTTTACGAAAATGGTCTGCAGCTTTGACGAAATTGGTTGCAACGTTTACGAAATGGGCTGAAACGTTTACGAAAATATCTGCTGCGTTGACGAAATTGCTTGCAACGTTTCACGAAATGGAATGCAAATTGGGGTGGAAAACCCTGTAATTAAGTACAAGGGGATGGGCATCGATCTTTTTCTACTGAAAAAATGCACCGGAGGTATACCATGCTCTCGATTTCCACTTCCAATCCTAGTGGCTCAACTGTGCATGGAACCAGTAACTGACACTTTCTGGAGGCATTCATTGCCTAGATAAGGACGAACGACGCGAGGATCTTGAATAAAGGATGGGGTGTAAAATTTGTGATCATAGACTTTCGTTTAGAAGAAAAATTCCTATTCCCGCGGCCATCTTCTTGATGCAATGTCCACCGTAATGTGGATTATCCCTGTCAGTTCAATCATGTAACAATTCTAAAATGCGACCACTGCCCTAAACGGTGGATATAAGTGAACACTATCCAACACAACCCTTATTACTCTTGTTTTATCAATCAGTTCGTATTCATGTATCTATCAAGTTTTGTGTAAGTGCCAAAAACAGAATGTCCCTTCATAATTGTCATCTTTATTCTACATGAGATCAATGTGAAAGTCAATCAACAATACCCTGAACTGCTCCATCAGCCCTACAAAAGGAAATAGCTAGAAAAATTTGTACGTTTGGATCAACAACGTGTACCGGTAAGGTTAGGCGTGAGTGTGGTGAAACATCCTAAGCAATGCTATACAACTCAGGCGAGCTTTTCACTAATCAGCTGCCGAATAATGTTCTGATTTAATTGGAAATTCGTTTCGAGCACCATCGATCGCTCTGCCAGACTAAGCTGAAAAAGCAAGTTGGATGAGAAATGAGAGTTACTATGGAAATCTATAACTATTGCAGCAAGACAAACACCAATAAAAGAGTATTGCACTAAATGTTTTTATGAGCATGGGCATTTCATTCCGTGCACAGAAAATCTATATACTATCTATATTGTTATATCCGAGGGACATACAGCGTGTCTACCCTTGTGAACCATGTAATCGAACGCGTCTCCCTGTCCTGCTGCTATCTCAGCTTCTCAGTTCTCAGGGTTTTGTCATATTACCCACCGCACCTCTTCATCCATGTATGCCTTTCCTACGGGTCGCTCAGCGCAGCACCTTTCAGAGAATATCGTGCGATAGCAAAGGTCTACAGAGGTCTATTGTGGCAAAGGGCGGAAGTGGTGTAGTGGCAAGTGGCACGCTCACCACGCGAGCGGTCCGGGATCAAATCCTGGGTCGTGAGTCGCCCGGGCCAACCAAGCCTTCCATCCCTCCGGGGTCGGTTAATTGGTACCAGACTTGTCTGGGAGGATAAAAACACTGACTTGTACATCGGCTGGCCCCCGCAAGTCATTGTATAGGCCACATCGCATTCAAACGCCACTACGAATGTACAAATGGAAGTAGAATGCGTGCCGCATCCCAAAAAGGGATTGATCAACGGCAAATGCTTTATCCTTTATCCCTATGGCACAAACTTGTGGTAGTGGAAGGAGAACAGTAGACGGAGAGAGGGAAAGCCCCTCCTACCTCCGCTCCCCGCCACTCTCGGCTAGCGACACGGCTTGAGACCAAAACTCAACGAAAGGAGTTTGTAATCTTACAGTATTTTCCAAATTATCTCACTGACCAGGTTTGCTCCGCCCGCCATCGCGCATCACAGGGTAGGTAAGAACGACGAAATAGCAGCACGACGTTCTCCATTAACCACCTCACTAATGAATGTGTTCAGCGGACCCTGCGACTGCGCGGGACTAACGCTAGGAAGAAGAAGAAGAAGACTAATGAATGTGTTATACCTCCTTCTACCACTTCTCTCAGGCGCATGGCAGCGCTATAACCTCCCTCCCTTCCCCTCTCCCCAATTCCCTCCACCTCCTCTTCTGCTTTCCCCCTCCCCTGCCGACTCCGGCTGCCCCGGCAGCACCATGTAGAATGAGGCTGAGTGTGCTCGTTCGGTGTTTTTGTAGCCATTGTGGGTGTTATCACAATCACCACATCAGGTTAGAATAATACGTCAACATGAATATAGACCTTACTCTTGAAAACGGTCGTTCTCTCTCAGTCTCTCCTCCCCCACCTCCCCCTCCTTATACCTCTCCCCGCATGACAGCGCCATGTTCTCCCTCCCTTTCTCCTCTCCCCCTTCCCTCCCTCTTTCTCTCTCTCCCCTCCCTTCCAGCCTCCCCTTTCTTGCCCCCTTCCCTCTACCCCTCCCCCCCCATCCGGCTGCCACGGCAGCACCATGTAGAATGAGACTGAGTGTGCTCGATCGGTGTTTATATAGCCGCTGTGGGTGTTATCATGATCATGACATCAACATCACGAAGTGTTGCCCTTCGTACTCCCTTTGTGAGCGGTTGGTCCGGACGGACAGAACGACACACACACCGACAAACCGACACACCAAAGTTCTGGTTTATATAATGAAGTGATTACCTTGGGCCTTTGTAGTTTGAATAGTGGATGTACTGGTATTGGAATGCCTTGTTTTAGTATGTCATTCACCATACGTTGCAAGATTTCACGTGAGAGAAAACCGGCGTCATCTAGTTCTTCCTGGACTAGCGTCGTGAGTGGTGAACGTGTGACCTGGAAAAATAGTTCTTATTTCAGAAACAACTTTGGACAAGCTACTGTTAGCAGTAGTCCTCGACCTGAGAAACTGCTTCTACATTACTCAGTTCATCCTCTTATGGCAAACAAGCACAAATAACGGTCAAGGAATTCCTCGGTCATGGATGTGTACCGACGAGAGTAGTGCCGAGAGTGAATGGACGCGTGGAGAGCACAGACGGCTCACGCATGACGGGTGTGAAGGTTGGCGCGGGAGAACATAACTGATCAGGCGCGAAATTCCTTGACAAGCCGT